CTTGTAAATTTGATTCATACTTATAATGTGGCAAAGTTGTAACTTTTAAACTTGTATTTGTAACTTAAAAACTTGTATTCTCACATAAGAATTGTACTTGAAATCTGATTCATACTTGTAATTTGGCAAAGTTATAACAAATTTAAAAAAAATACTTTATTGATCCCAGAGGGAAATTAGGTAAATGTACGTTTATAGACTTACATGTAATAAGTTAGACTCTTACACATACAATGATTCTGACAGTTATCTTACCCCATATTTTTCTACCTGGATTACTGAGATGCATCAGGACTATTTGATCTATTATTCAACTGCATTGATTTTAAAAAGTCACAACCCTCTCAACACTAATAAATCATTAAATCTGCATGTTTTTTGTTTTTCATCACGAGGTTTTGGAAATGTTTTTTTCTGAAGCCCTGAAGGAAACACTGCAGAGAACAGCTGCACACTTTGTTAATAACCCATCCAAGTTATAAAAAGATTTGTTTTATGACTCTAATGCACTTTTTCTGTTATTCAAATGTTAAATGTGTTGCTGTTATCAAAGTAAAACACAAACTGTATTTCTCTGTCTTGTTTCTTTAACCCTGCTCTGACAGACCTCCAGCCTCGAGCACACAAACACCCACAGAACTCTGACACAAACAGAACCGTTCRATAAAAAAGGATTTTCTTATGCAGAGAAAAGTCAGAGCAGCAACAAACAGGGCTTTGTTTCAACTCAACWCATCGCTCTGAGAGCAGCCATGGTGTGCAGCTGAGCTGCTGACTCAGCAACAATCAAGATCCTGTTCCTGCTGCTGGACTCACCTCAGCATCAGGATCCCCACAGGACATGAGCTCATCCTGACGCTCCTTCTGGTGGGCCGACGATGCCGAGGGGTCCGTCACCTCCCACTGCACGCTTCCWGTGGTTCTGGCCGGGTTCGGCTGGCTCTGCTGGTCTGAGCCGTGCTGTTTAGTGTCTCGCTCCTGCAGCAGGTGTCGATACTTCTTCTTCAGGAGGAGGTACTTTTCCCCCTGAAACACATGGTTTGACAACAGAGGGTTAAAAACCAGCAGAGGGAACAGATTTATAATGTCAACATCAACTCAAACAGCTCCACTGTTTCACTTCACGTCTGTTTGAAAAGATTTATCAGCTCTAATTTAATAATAACCCTCAGCTATAAAAGCAGTGCAGAACCAATTCATCCWGCTTTCATGGTTCCATCTGCAACTCTAAAATCACACCTCAGTAAGTAATAAAAAGTATAATAAAAACAACGATATACGTTCCTTTACTTTAATAGTAACCATAAACAGAGGTGCACATGAGTGATGCGCAGGTACGCATGCGCGATCAAAAAAAGAAAAAGTGCACCAGATGAGACGTCATAAAGCTCCTTAAGATTGTACCTGGTTGTCTGTCAAAACAACAGCTAGCAGGACTCTAGAGTGTCGCAAACGTGACCTGATTTCTTAAAAAAAAAAAAAAAAAAAAAATCCAGCGGCACTGGCACTTGTTCGGTGCGCCAGAGCGGGACCCTGATATAAGGATTAAACACTGCTTTCAACAAATCAGACGAAGTCCAGAGCCGTTTTGTCCAATCAGAGCAGAGCAGGGCGGGACTTTCAGTGAGAGCAGGTTTGGTTGAAGCAGCGGACCGGCTCGACTCGAGCTGCTGCAGCGATCAGTCCTGACTTCTCCTCTCCTCCTGCACTTTGCTCCTGAACTACCAGAGACTTTGGTCTGTAAAACCTAACTTTATATTAAATATATGTTCAGAATGTTGTTATTGAACAGATCTGTCCAACTCTGTGTGAGTGACTAAACTCTCCTCCTGAGAGACTGCTGTATGTGCGTGTCACTGCGCGCAGACTGTCTGTGAGATTCACTGCGTTCTTCTAATTAAAACACATTAACTAACAGAACATTTGTTTTTCCCATATTAAAGCAAAGATGATTCTCTGTTTAACACCCCAGTCAAAAACATTATATATATTAAAAAAATAAAAACAACTTGTCATGTTCTCTAGGTGAAAGAGTTTTAAATCTTATTTTAATTTATCATAAAGATCCAGCCCAGCCCCTCGGCCACTTAGGTAGTTTACAAAATTTATGTAGAGTAAAAGAATAAAATAAAAACTTGTAGGACTGATTTGACATGATGTCCTGAGACGCTGCAGCTGATAGGAGTCATAAAACAGAACAGGGGGATGTTAGATGACCTGACACCATAAATGTGTTCAATGAGTGAAGGAAAATATGAGTGAGCACCAAGCAACAACCCTAGGTTCTCCCCTGAGAACCAGAACAAACATTTTTTGTGCAACCCTGACTTTAAAAGAAGAACCAGGTCAAAGAAATCTCTGACAGAACAAAAAGAAGCACTGTGTCGTATTAAAACAAGAGCAGCACAGGGCTGTACGGTAAGCAATAAATCATTTAATCACATGATAAATTAAAATAAACTTGTTTGTTTCCTTTGATTCTCCCTTTTCTACTCCTTAGTGTAGGCAGGAGTGAACTCTGTTGTCAGGTATTTCAGGTATTTCCCAGGCTCATGGTCTCTAACCTCTGTAGCCTGAGTCTTGTGAACAAACAAACGGATGTAGGAAAACAGGAAGTGAGAAGAGGTTTCAGACAACATCTATAAACTMTCAGGACAGGCTGGAATATTACACAACTTTTCATCTAAATCACATCAAGCTGATTTAACAGAAATTATTATATTTCTTCTTTTATTGTCATTCCAAAGGTTCATCACAGAYGTGACAAAGGGCCTCATGCAAGAACCGTTCTTACGAACAGATTTGTTCTTAAGTTGTGCGTACGAGGGATTTAGGAGAATTTGTAACGTTCACCAATTTTCTCATATTGTAAGATTTTCTTCAGATACGAACAAAATTCATGTGTGGTCCAGACCTGTGCAGTCAGTCTGCTGTTATCCAGATGGGTTTTTCTCATTAATGAAATTAGTTTGAAAATATTTTAAGTTGAAAATAAATCACACTCTATAGTTATGTTGACAATAGGTTATTCTGTTTGAACTGGAATTATAGTTTTAAATGTAATAATGTAGATAATGACAAATTGGTTAAATTTAATTAAATT